TAGTTTGGACGGACGCGCGCAACGAAGCGCACCGCAGTAATCACCCGCTGTAATAATACGAATCTTACCCTAACGTTGCGAGCTTCGGTCCCAACCGGATCAGACGGGTGTTCGCTGGAAAACGTTGTAGTATTAAAGTAACCTAGTGAAGGCTTAATTAGATTGCTTTAATACTACAAGGTGTGCATGGGCTTAGATTCGATCTTCAAAACAGGCCAACGGGTATTTCGAAAGGGGCGGGGGGAGGGGGCACCGCTGATATTAGCTGGATGAGTGCCCTTTCAACCACTGAATTAGTTTAATAATTTTTTCATTGAGTGGGTGTTCAGTAGGAGGCATGTGACGTCGTGTGACAGACAAACCAATTCGTTAAATGGCCTATGTTTTTATGCGTTCTCTCCAATTCAGATTACAACGCACAGCTTTGATTATTTCCAGGAAATGTCAAAGATCACATTTCTCACACGAAATCGAGCCATACCGAGTGAATCTGTACATCGTCAAAACATCTAATTCCGCCTTCTTTTCAATTTGACTCTCTCCCTCCCCTCTAATTGACCTGTCTGTTTTTCGAAATCGTTTTTCATCTATCAGACAGCAGGAGGTGAACGATGCTTCAAGGAATCAACAAGTACCAGTACGATAGAGGTCGAACTTGTTTCTCCTGTCACTTCATCAGCCAGAAATTCGGGTTTCACTCATGCAATGTACTACGATCTACTCTCATCACTGTACCATTCTCGTGTTCCATAAAACATCTCATTGGATTGTCTCATAGCCGTTTCCTATGAAAATCATGGAAATGGTTGGGTCGAAAAATTAATAATAGCAAAGTAAAAGTAATAAAAATGATTTTGTTCATATACTTGTATGATTAAATTGGCGAGATTCCTGTAGAAAAGTGCATCACGATTTCTGAAGATTACCACCATGACTCGTTACCTCTGATCACCGACATCACATAAAAGCGCACTCTGAATTTAGCTTTCCGGGTCGTCGTGCCCGTTAAAATCGCGCGTAATCGCGTCGCGTTAGTAATCGATAATTCATAATCACCGCTATAATTAGTGACTCGAGTGATTTCTGGCCTTTGCAATCATATGCGGCTGACTTCTCTGCATGGCGTGAACTCCGGAGAGGAGGTGCGCCTTCATGCATTCCGAAAAATCGGCACATAAAATACTTTGCTGGGTTTTTTTGAAGTTGTCAGTTTATTTACAGCAAGTTTTATTAGTAAGGTAAACAAGTAAGTTCTGGTGGTAGTCACAGAATAGCATATATTCTGCTTTTGTTAAGTATATGCTGAGAATTTCGCACCTGTCGAGGTGCTTTCTGGCAAGTTCTGGGAGCTTTTTACGGAATACCTTGAGGACATTACCCAATTATGTGTGTATAACATATCCGACCCCCTATTATTTAATGGTAACACCTACGTCCGATCGCGGCCTCTCTGCTGCTGAAGCTAATCAAAACCTTTGTCATGTATTCGACCCTGAAGCCTTTTCTAGGCGGTTCTGAGCCCGAGTCGTTCCAACGCTTCTGAACCGAAAACAAAAAGGTCAACGACGAGTGTCGATTTGGTCAACCGGTCAACCGACTGCCACATCACGAAACCCCCACACACGTCGTGTACTTCTTCAGAACCCTCCAGAATATTTTAAAAAACTTCGTGGAATTCCGAAAAGATTCAGGCGTATACCCTCCGAATAGCCTAATAAAAGCATCCTTCAGTACTTGTATGTTTTGCTGTTCCATTGCTCAATAAAGCCACACTTGCGATTTTAATTGACGCCAATGAGGCACAGGGAAGGGCTCATTATAGGAAATTCGTCTCTGAGGCGTTTATTGATTTTGTAAAAAAAAACTGCGGTCAAACACGACTAGTTCCTTTATTTTCTGAGTTCAAAGCGTTCGTTATTTGGTCCTTTCTTTG